TTCTTTGCTAACCATGCTTGGTGGTGTAAGGCCTGCTGATGGGAATTAGTATCATGATCATTGAATTCTTTATTGCTTTGCTCTAATAGAACAAGAGTAATTTGAGCAAAAGTAGATTTCAATTATCAAGAAGGCTCAACATCCCAGGAAAGCCAACTGGTACAAGAACAGTACTAGAGGATATGGATACTGTCTTCCTTGTGGGAAAAGAGACAAGCATGAGTCGTGAAATTGATACTTCCATTGTTTGATAACTATAAGAACATCATTTGGTATGATGTCATTTGAAAACTTTGTGACAAAGCATTCCTATCAAGGCAACAACTTTCAAGCTATAATTACAATATTCAGAACCCTGGTGCTTTTCCACTTTATGATACTAACATTGCTCCTACCACTGATGTTACTACAAACATCACAGCAAGGTAGCATGGTTTGTTTTACAATGCAAAAGCTAMTACTATCATATTTCTCAGCATCAAATTCTCCTCAGTGTCACTGATGCTAAACCAAAATTATTAGTATGGCAAGCCAACACCTTTTGCAATCGTAAATGGATCACTGACAGCAGGTGATTGTCCAAATTAGTACTACTACTGGAGCTGGCTCTTGCTTTAAATAACAAGAAGGATAAATAAATGTTTTTTGTTTTCTTATACAGCAGGTTCACACAAAAGCATTGAGCTTATAAAAGAATCTTATTATTATTTATCATCATCAGCTAGAAGAGGCACAGGGTGTACCAGGACCATAGTTTATGGGGAGAATAATGCTGCTAGTCACTCCAAGGGGCATCACTTCCCTCCAAGGAGGATTGGTGCTGGAAGCACCACCATGCAAAACACTGTGTCATAGTGGTTTGTTGTGTTATGATGCAGTAGCAGAGGCCAGAGAAGTTCTCTGGCAAAGTAGACTGTTTGTGTCTTTTGTTGTAGTACACATCAAAGACTAGCTAGTATTGTGTGATGCTTTCCAGTGAGTATTTCCTAGTATGAGGCAAGGATAAAAATTCTGGGTAATAGGATGCATGTTTGAGACAGGAGACATAAGTGAGTTGGTACAGATACTTGCAAGAATTGTTTTATTGTATGATGCTTGTAGGTACTAGTATGACAACAAAGAACTGTTTTATTGTATGATGCTTGTAGGTACTAGTATGACAACAAAGTACATGTTACTAGTACTACTAGTAGCTTTCCTTGGAGAATATATGAGCATGTGAGGGACAAGTCTGTGGTTGCAGGGCAAATAGTTCCAGACTTTTTGTTCCCAGCCACCTTTGTTGCAGTAGTGCTGTTTTCTGGGAATGGCAATGGTCATGAAGGTTTTTATTGTGTTGTCTCCAGAACAACGCATTCCCAACATCAAGATTATTCATACTCTCTTTGACAGTGATGTTGAGATACAAATAAGAAAGTAATGGACTAGAAGCTTTGCCTTACCCCTAAGAGACAAATGTTGATTTGCATTATAGCCAATCCAAGGGCACTATAATTTTCAAACCAAATTTTGTCAAACACACAAACCTAAACTTTGGTTCTGAAAAGCCTAAATAGTACATACCTGACCAGTGCCTTCTGGCATCCAAACCACCATGGTGACACCCCTTCAGAAGGGGAAAATCCCTCCCCCTGGTCCTTGTTAATAAAGCTTCAACCAAGTTAATAGCACCAATGGTGCTGATGAGATCAGTATTGGTCCTCCTAGTCCCCCCAAGCTATTGGCAGTTTTCCTAAGCTAAATCTATCCCCTGTTCTTCATTGGGAAATATCTTCTGGTGTTGAGGTTGCTTCCACATTTTGTGTTGGCAACAGCAACAACCCAAGCCCCTAGTACTCAACCAAGACAATTTGCTGGCAATGATGAGCCCAGCATTATTCCTCCTAAGCTCCCAGCTGGTGGCAGTTTGGATCAGCTAGATCCATCCATGATTCCCCTGGAAGATGCTTCTGGTCATAATGTGGTTGTTTCCAACACTTGTGGACAACAACAACAACTTCAGCCCCCAGTATTCAACCAATTCCTTTCCTTTGAAGAACAACACCTCAAGTCTATGCTACATACTCAGTTTAAGGAGATCCACCACCAGTTAAGCTCCATGTGCTAATTGTTCCAGTATTTACAGATGGGACAAAGAAGACGCTTATGGTCCTGATGTCATTGTTTCTGACATTTGTGTTGGACAGCACCAACAACAACCCAAAAAGCTTGTATGAAAGCAATCCAACCAAGCTGGTGCTGATGAGATCAGTTTGCTCCTCCCTAACTCTGTTCCTCTTACAGACCGGAAGAAGATATTTCTGGTCTCAAAGTTGTTGTTGTTCCCAATATTTGTGTGGGGCTGCAGCAACAACAACCCCAGTATTAAACCATGACCTCGTCTGAAGAAAAATACCTGGAGTCTAGTACTAGGCTACACACTCACTTTAAAAGAAGATTCCTCAGCCTCTTGATGTGCCAGTTCCAGTATTCACAGACTGGAAGATGATTCCAGTCATGTTGTTGTTGTTTCTGACATCTGTGTTGGATAACACCAACAACACCCTCTTGCACGGCAACTGAAACCATTGAGTATTTAACCTCCACCTCCATGGGATACAGGCCCTAGTTCAATACCACAAAGTCAGCGTGTTTGATTTTTTTCTTTTGGCTTTTCTTTTTTCTTTTTCATTACTCCTCTTCCATCTGTGTCCATTTACACCGCAGGTGATCTTGCCTTCTTAATTGGCTTGGCAGTGTTCTTGGCAGTGTGCCTGGAACTTGTTTCCTTGTTCATTGCATTGGGACTTGCCTTTTTGGCTTGGCAGTGCACTTTGAAATGATCATGGCATGGATCTCACCATCCATCCTAACTGTGAGGAGTCAACTCTTTCTTTTGTGTCTGCTGAGTCCAGCCCCAGGCCTGAATTGGCTTGTCAGTACACACAGAACCTGGTTGCTCCTCCACAAACACTCCTTGGAGGGAGGCACTGTTCCCTTGGAGCAGCTACAAGCATTCTTCTCCCTAGTCAGGAGAAGTTATCATGGATCTGGCCATATAGGGCCTCTCCTAGTTCACAAGGTTAAATATTATGAAGATTTATTTAAAACCAAATTGAGGGTACTGTTTCACAAAGAAATCAAACAAAGTCTGTTCAAGTGGTATTAGTGGAAAATTTTACTAGTGGTCAGCAGCAGATGTTTGCAGTAAAAAATAATGATGTGAACATCAACAGAGTGAAAAAAGGCAGTACTACTAGTAATTTCAAACATTGAATGAGCATCCCAACTGACACAACATTGGTTTCAGCCTGGTGGTCTTACACAAGCAATTAGATTTATGTTTTGCTTTCAAGTGTTCTTACTAGTACTACTAGTGCTATTACTACCACTACTGCCACTACTAGTAGTACTACTAGCATGCCAGCACAAAGAAATTTCAGTGGCGGTCTCTTTGTACTAGTAAGAACACCTCTTCTCTTCACTTCACAAAAACAACGCTACCATTAATGATCACCATACCTAGACAACAAATCAATGAACTCCACCATTCCTATTTTAGAAACAACAAGAACAAGGGCAAGACAATAAGCAACAACAAAGAACAGGACGAGCAGCCACAGTTCTTGTTGTTTTGCTGCTACTACTAGTACTACTATTTATTCTTTGTTTCTGCTGGTGAATTCTTTTTTTTCATCTTTGCACTCACTTAATTTTTGCACTGTAATAAGTTCTTGCATTAGCCAACCAATTGAAAGAGGTTGACAGCATTGAGGTTACTGCTGACCTTCTCTACTACTACTAGTACTACTAGTACTAGTACTAGTACTACTAGTAGCATATTGCCGTGGGAGGAGCTTTCTTCATACCGTATGAGTCGATTTCCGAGGATGTGCAGTGTGCATTACAACAGTACAGGACAGTAACGTACGAAACTTGCATCAGTACCGTACGTCTTTTGACCTGCCACAGCGAACGAAGATCGGTTTCTATTTCCTCATCAGAACTTACAACCACAGCAAGCATGATCCGATCATTGCGTGTCACTTCTGTTATTGCATGGAAGTCTTGTCGGAAACGGCGATGGATGCCTCCGCTTTCCGCCACGTCCTCTCTCGTCCCTCCGAAACAGACCTCCTTCCAAGCTTCATTTTCAGGAATTGTTTCCTCTTATCTTAATGCTGCTATTCCAGGGAACTACTACGTATCGAGAAACAACGACGTCCCTTCCCAACCGATCGGACTGTTCTTCTTTTCTACAAATTGCAAAAGAGACCCAAACAACAACGAGTCAGAACACGACGCACCAACGCAGAAACCACAGACGATACGGGACCAATTGAAATCTATACCCAACATACTAACCATTTCTCGATTGGCTTCCACACCTCTGTTGTGTTACTGGATAATCAATGATGAACCATACCTCGCCATTGTTGGTTGTTTTTTTGCAGGTGCATCTGATGTGCTCGATGGATACATTGCGAAGAATTATGGGCAAAAGACAGTCCTAGGAACTTATCTGGATCCGTTTGCMGATAAGTTCTTCATCAATAGTTTAGCCATCAGCTTATGCTACAGTGGAATATTGCCTATGCCACTCATCCTCCTCTGGGCTTCGAAAGACGTGCTCCTCTTAGGTGGGATGGGATGGTATCTTTATCAGGAACAAAACACATTCAATTTCTTTTCCAACAGCATACACTCGAAACCTCTGACGGTGACACCATCGACATTGGGAAAAGCAAATACGGGGTTACAATTTGCAACATTGGCTGCTGGTATTCTCACACCAGTCGTCCCACCTGATGTTTTGCAACCCACTATATTAGAAAGTTTGTGCTGGATGACGGGTGCTTCTTCGATCGTAACCACAATTTCCTATGCTCGAGGAGGAAAAGGATTCACATACACAGCCAAAAACAATCAAAATGTAAAGAAGAGAGATGCTGCTGATGCAAATAGTGCAAATGGAAACAATGACACATAGGGGCGAACAAGTTCTACTTTGGACTCGAATTTTGTAATGCAAAATTTTATGGATTGGCGAGAATAACGATGCTGATAACAATACGGTACGGTGCGATAGTGGAGCAAGTTCTACTTCTTCGGACCAAAAGCGAATTTTGTTCCCAAACTTCCATCGGGTTTGACAGCTTGGGCTGTCCAGGGCTCCGTCTCGTGAGCGTTGATTGCAATTGTTGCTTTGTACCAATCCTCGCCAACATTTCCTGAAAGAACTTCACTTTCCCAAACTCTATCCGAGTCGGCCTGAACACCGTCCAAGACTTTTGACCCGTAGGGTCCACCTTGGTTTGTATACACGATATCGAAGACGTTACTGTTTCCAAGTGCCTGGCTTCCCCTCTGGATCTCATCAATCATGCGTCGATCGACTGATTGCTTGGCAAAAGTCAAATCATTGATGGTGAAGTGTAAGGCCAGTTTATTGTAACTCGTGTTCTCGCCAAAAAAATGATCCACATAGTGAAACATTGCTACATCCCTTCCACTGGTTTCCATCATACAATTTATATCAACTTTTTKAGCTTGTTTCAGAAGCAGTGCTCCCAATAACTCTGAAATAGTCCTATATCGACTGAAAATTGCGGCCTGTTGTTCGTACAAAAAAGGGATTGGAATGGATCAGAAGATAATGCGACTTTTTCACGACACGCGAAAACCGCGAACGAATACATTCAGAACAAAGAAATTTTGCAATTACCTTGTATTTAGAATATTGGTCGACCACTTCGTCCGAAGGGATAGGCTTCCCATCATCTTCAACCTTCGGCAACTGCGAAGTGGACCATGCGTAAAGTCTCGTAAATTCTTCGTTGCACAGAGTGCAAATCATGTGATCGAGTTGCCGAAAGAACGAATTCGATCCTGTTGGAAGGCCTTTTGGTGCTTTCTGTTTGGTTTCGGAAGCTCCACAGGTAGCTGGACAAATGATGGCTTCTGAGAGGAGATCCCCAAACCATGGTTGATACATACTCGTGGTTTTTCGAATTCCGTTCACACCTGTGACCAAGACAGCCCATGATTTTTCATCGGCTGGACGGTCCGACCGGTTCGCATTACGTACGGCGCCATCCCAATTACCTTCTTTGATTATTCGCTCAAGGAGTTGCCGGGCGGGTGCCGATAAAGGGAAATCGGTAGAAGCAGAATCTGATGGTGACGATGATTCTACCGCTAGAGTTTCACATAATTTGTCGCTATTCTCGGAGGTCACAGCCCAATCTTTGTGGGATAAGTGAGCGACTCCTCCCAACAGGCTCTTAAGCCCAGAAAAGTCAATTTCTTTGCACGAGCTAGCCACTTTCTTGTTATCTACAACGGGCGCCAAATTTTGGAGCGAGTTCGCAATATCTCGGATTTCATCTTCAGTAAACGGTGTCCCATTCTTGGCTCGTTCCGCCATCTGCTTAATTCTTTCGTCAATGCTCGTCGAAGATAGCTCAGTCGACGAAGAGGATGAAAAGTCAGTGAGCGTTGTAGCAATGCTCCTCATCGTTGGACAGCGATCTACGCTGGGCTTTGTTTTTGTAGAAAGAGCCATGGTTGTTAATTTTGTAGTCGTAGTCGAAAGAAACAGTACCGTTGTTATTACTGATGAATTACGAAAAAACATTCTCTTCTCTTTCGTAGGTAGCGACCAATTGGAAATCAATTATAATGATCTACTGGTTTCTCGGTGTAGCATCGGTATCGTGCTCGACAATTACAAAAAGTTGTGGATGACGATCCAAAAATGATGAGAACGTCGTTGTGGTTGAACCCATTGCATGGAAGGAAGAAGGCAAAGAGGAATTTGAAAAAATCTCGTTTTCATGGAAGTCTTTTCTAGTACGTACGTACTCGTAGTATGATATCACGGTACAAGCTAGCTACAATCATCATAGGATGATGATAGTCCAGTAAAGCATCGTAGGGTACGTACGGTACCATAATTTTTTTTGTCGTGGACGTGTATTATCCCACACGTAAGTCAGTTTGTAACGTTTATTGCAGACAACGAGAATAGCGGCACCAGTACGTATCTTCGTTCCTACCAATACACTACAAGTTAATTTTCTACTTAAGTGTTTTCTCGTTCGGGATCCCCGAGCCATACCAGTCACGGCTTCCATGTTGTAGAGAAAATGGGTGATTCCCGCAAACATATTTCGTGATATGTCAGCGGGAATCAGTTTCAGTGGTACAGAAGACACAGATTTC